ATATTTATTAAATCGATAAATTAAATACTTGTGGTACATATTCCGTGCGGGCTGTATCCACCCGAATAATTTCTGGCTGTGCAAACGCGTTTCTGTTAATTTATAAAGTTTGAAAAGAATGAAAATATTAAATCAAAATACATGATGTTTTGATTCGAAATTAAAATGAATTATTCATACGCTTCTTGCCATAATTGTTTATTCTTTTCATGTTCATCGACAGCCTTACTGGGTTTTGGATCTAACTAGCGGAAACAAAAAATGATCAATAAGGGCTAACAGAGGTGAATTGTAGTGAAACGTGGAAAGAGAATAAAAATAATAAAAATAAAAAATGGATCTTACGCCAGCATCGGCAGCAGCTTCCCAATCGTCCCAAGGATCATCGTCCATTGTTGACCTGAGAGAAGTAGAACTGCGGAATATCAAAAAATCAAAAAAAAAAAAATTTTAAGAATTTATGCATGTAATGCATGCAATTATGTAAATCATAAGATTTCATGCAGATTAGCACAGACCCCGTTACCGTTTTTTTTTTTTTTTCGCCTCAATGTCGAGCAAAGTATTGTCCCTTAATATAACGCAACAATTTTCTGCTTAATACTTGGAAATATGATTGATATCTATTTACATTTTGATATGATTAGGAAGTTTCTAATAATCAACTCGAAGTTTCAAAATTAACATTTGGAGCGGCCGTCTTTAATGGCTTGCATAATCATATCGAAGAAGATTGGCCGTCATTATCTGTTCGAAGGGCCCTTGAGTTGGGTAATTTATATTTCGATTATATATTGTTTTTTTTTCGATTTATTTTCCATACTTATTGAAATTTTAATTAGACATTAACGCATTTGATACTAGTCCATATTACGGCGATAGTGAAAACATACTTGGTTCTGCCCTTTACAATTTGCGAGAGGAATTTCCTCGATCTAGTTATTACATATTCACCAAAGTAGGTCGATACGGCCTGAAAGATTTTGATTACACCGCCAAACGAATTCGACAAAGTGTTGAAGAAAGCTGTAGGCGATTACACACCGATTATTTGGACGTTGTATATGCGCATGATGTAGAATTTGTTAAACTTGAAGATGTTGTTGAAGAAGGTGGGGCTTTACCTGAGTTATTTAAGCTAAAGGTAAAAGGCAAATATTTACTTTAATGTCAATAGAAACCTTTGATATGCTTAAAAAAGTTGACAATTTGTTTATTTATAAGGAACAAGGAAAAATCAAATATGTGGGAATAAGCGGTAAGGAATAAAGTATATGGTTGAATAAGTATCATTTGACAGAATTAATTTTCCTTGAATTATTTCTAGGATATCCTTTAGATGTTCTTTTGAAAATAGCACGACTTCAATATGATCGCAATCAACCGATTGATGTTATTCTTTCTTATTCTCATTATTGCCTTCATAACATTAAATTATCAGACTATATTCAAGAATTTAATCGCGTTGGAGTTCGTTACATAATGAATGCGTCTCCGCTTAGCATGGGACTTTTGCGTAATAACGGTCCACCAGATTGGCATCCAGCTTCAAATGAGTTGCGACATGCTGTTGCGCAAAGTTCTGCGCTTGCTTCCAGTAATAATTTAAACATTTCTAAATTAGCAATTCTATTTGCTTTAGATTTGAGTGGCATCATTACTACTGTAATCGGATTATCTAATCCAACTGAAGTTGATGATGCAATTTCATTTCTTAAAGAAGCGCAAGCGAGACAAAGGGGAGAGGCGGTAACTCCAGAAATTGAAAAGAAGGTCTTGACCGAAATTCATCAAATTCTTGAACCTTATTTCAATTTGAGTTGGGATTCTCCTCCAAAAGATCTTTGATTTAAAAATCATCTTTCCATCTTTAAATAAAATTTAAAATACATTACGACTAGATTTAAGTCATGTGATTGAAAATTTAATTAAATTGTCACCTGATTAGATCAGGTGCCTAAACGAAATTGTTAAAGATTTTTTCTTTATTATTAACTTGGTTTCCAAATAGTTACACGAGAATAAGAAGTGCATCTGCATTTGGAAATATGTGTCCATGTCTTGTTGATATAAGCGCAAACATAATTTTTTAAAATATTTATTTTTCGAAGCTCAATATGTCAAAACGTCGCGTACCAGTTGCAATTAACAACTCAACAGAAACAAAGTCATCACACAAAGATAGTATGTCGTCGAACGGTTCCATCAACGGAATGAAAGTTGGTAGGTAAAAGTTATATATTTATGAAAATGGTTTCTGCAAATAACATCCATTTCCGCTGTAGAGAAATTTAAGACTCTAGCCTTCGTCTTTTATGCTGGAAACTGTACCGTTCCTATGTATTTCCATTTAATTATTAAAGTCAATTAGGGTTGACTTTGATAAACGACGATGTTAATAATATACTAATGCTCGTACATCCGTTTTCACCACTTCTAATAGAAAATGATCCTCATAAATTGATCAAGGTAGTCGCTACGGATGGAAAAACGGCAGAGGAATTTGAGTTAGCCTATACAGTTACAAAAGTAATTGGAAACGGTTCTTTTGGTGTGGTGTTTCAAGCAAAACTAGTTAGATCTGCCGAAGACGCTGCTATCAAAAAAGTACTTCAGGATAAACGGTTTAAGGTAGGTTAAACTATTGAACATCTTGAAATTACTTGAGAATATCAAATAGCTAATTACTTTTCAAGTACAGTAATGTTATCAAAATTCTTTCAAAAAATAATAGACAAATTTTTTGTAAGTAGATTATTTTATATTCATATACTCTCTCTCTCTCTCTCTCTCTCTTTTGATCTAGAATCGTGAACTTCAAATTATGAGATTGGTGTCGCATCCAAACATAGTGGGTTTGAAATCCTTTTTCTATTCTAATGGTGAAAAGGTATGTAAACGATTCATGCGAAGAAATATTATAATATATAAAATAAATGCATATTAGTTAATCTGTAAAAATTTATATAATTCTTTTAACAATAATTACAGAAAGACGAGGTTTACCTTAACCTTGTACTTGAATATGTTCCTGAAACCGTTTACAGAGCATCACGTTTGTATGCTAAAAGCAAACAAACGATGCCTATGCTTCATATAAAACTCTACATGTATCAACTTTTCCGGTCACTTTCCTATATCCATTCTCTTGGAATCTGTCACCGCGATATTAAACCACAAAATTTGTTATTAAATCCAACCACATGCGTATTGAAATTATGTGACTTTGGCAGTGCAAAAATCTTAGTAGAGGGAGAACCAAATGTTTCATATATCTGTTCAAGATATTATAGGGCGCCCGAGTTGATCTTTGGCGCTACAAACTACACAACAAACATTGGTAATTAATCATTTTTTTTTTCTTTCCTTTGTAATTATAATTATATAACCCCAATCATTTTTTTATTTATTTATTGTATAGATGTTTGGTCAACAGGTTGTGTTATGGCTGAATTGATGCTTGGACAGCCCTTGTTCCCTGGAGAAAGTGGTATTGACCAGTTGGTTGAAATTATCAAAGTTTTGGGAACACCAACGAGGGACCAGATTAAAACCATGAATCCAAATTATATGGAACATAAATTTCCTCAAATTAAACCGCATCCATTTTCAAAGGTGAAGAATTTTTGCTAGAACCTTGTACACAATTTTTACACATTGTTATTTACAAATAAGATTTTATGTCTTGATAGGTTTTCCGAGCCAGAACGCCTCCTGAAGCAATCGATCTTATATCCCGTTTATTGGAATACACACCATCCAATCGACTAACAGCAATTCAGGCAATGTGCCATCCATTTTTCGATGAGTTACGAAATCCAGAGACAAGACTTCCAAATGGGAAAGATTTACCTAAACTCTTCAACTTTACAAAACAAGGTTTGAATCCAATTTTTTTCTTTAATTTTCTAAGTTAGCAATCGAATATAAAATTAATGACTATCACTAATTCTTTTTTTTTTAAAAAAAAAAATTATTACCTAATATAGAATTATCCATCCGTGAAGACTTAATTTCCAAACTTGTGCCACCTCATGCTGAGGAAGAACTCCTTTCTCGTGGAATCGATATTCATAATTTCACCCCATTGTCACAATCTCAAATGCGCGCAACTTTGGATTGAAAATAAATAATAATTTTAGACTTTAAAATATTAAAATTCTTTTTTCTTTTTCCTTTTAAAATTTGGAGAGACAAAAAACTCAACCCCTTACTGCCTTTATCGCCTTTAATTGTTTCATTTATTATTATATATATTTTTTCATTATTAATTAGATTAGAAATTTTTAATTGTTTTCTTTCCCTCTATATTCTTTGCTGCATAGGTTTTTTTTTTTGGTGGTATTAATGATTGCTTCACAAATTCTAATGATCACAAAACAGTTTGTGGGTGTGAATAATCTATTTTTATTATTTTTATTTTTTATTATTTTTTTAGCAGATTGGGTATTTATAAATATATTGATCTAATTATTTTATATATTTAGTTTATTTCATATCAATTAGTATTATATCAACATCCTATAAAACAAGAAAACGTTTGTAATTAAGGACATTTTTTATATTGTTGTGGTCATTAGTATTTATTAAGTGAAGGTTTTATTGTTATTGTTTGGTTTTATGTATTCTTTTTTTTTTTGTTGTACATTGTTACAATTTGCATTAGTTTTGATATTCAGTTTGTATTTTTTTTTTTAAAAAAAAAAATTTCTTTTTTTTTTATAACTATTTTTTTTTATTTTTATTTTTTATGATTAAGCCTTATACGTATACTTGACATTTTAACCATTTCTTTTTCCTTCCTATATATAATATTTTTCCTGTTATCATTTTCATCATTTATATATTATAGAAATAACGCGAAGTAATTTATAACGTCATAATTGTAAAAAATTTTGGACATTCTAATAGGAATTTTTTAAATTGTGATAAGATACTGGAATAAATATACGTTATACCAACTATTTAGGAAAAAAATTAGTAAGTGAAAAAATTATATTTGTCAAGTTAGAAAGGTAAAGGGATAAGTTAATATCACGTGACTGGACGTAATCTTTAATAAATAAGATTATCAAAAAAAAATGGCATCACTTTGCCCCCGCTTTTCGTCCTCGGTTCGTTGCTTTCTCTTCTTCCCATTTTTGTTTTTAATGAATATCGTATACTTTTAAATTAAATTTGTTTTGGTTTAAAACTTAAATGTAAGAATAGCAAGCACAGCAAGCATGTCCACCTCTTTTAGGTTACGAAAGTTATCAAAGTGTAGTTGTATTTCTTCTTCCTTCACATTGTTGAATAGGAGGAAAGTAATACCTTTCATATTACAAACTCAAAATAGGTATATGTTACGGGTAAATAATACTATCATACAAACTTATAATAAAAATATTCCCTTAAAGAAATGTTTTAAGTTGCATTTTTTAATATTTAACGCTTTTATTTTATTTTTCTTTTTTTTTTTAAAAAAAAAAAAAAAGTATCGTAACATTAGTTCCACTTCACAAATAAACGATGAAGAAACATCAACCGTTACTACTGCGGATATAAAGAATAAAACTAAAAAGAAAAGTAAATTGGAAGGATATTGGTTGGATGGATTCCAAACTCCGAGCCCAATATCAAAAAGAAAATTTCCACCTTTTGTACAAAATATGCTTGTACGTTTAGCTAAAGCACTTGGTTATTATGATTTACCAGTACAAGCTATAAGAATTACGAGAGAATTATATCAGATGTGTTCAAAGCATTATGATGAAAATAAAGAATTTTATATTAATGGTAAGTGAATTAATTGGTCCATTAATAATTAAAACCTTTTCATTTATATATCTCTGCTTATTGTATTCATTGTTAGCTTGTGGATTACCTGATAGTTTTCAAACTTGGTTTGCTGTGACTTTATTACATATTTGGATGTTAATGGTTAGATTTAGAGTTGAAAATGAAGGAAAAATATTTATGCAACAGTTAGTAAATCATCTGTTTGAAGATGCTGAATGGAGAATGAGAGAAGATTATGGAGTATGTCACTTATATATATATATACACACATTATATATTTTCTTTTCTTTTTTTTTTTTTTTAAAAAAAAAAAAAAATTATCATACTTATTAATAATTAATTAATTCAATATATATATATATATATATATTTTTTCTTTTTTTTTTTTTTTAAAAAAAAAAAAAGATTACTTCAAATAGTATTATCAATTATTATACTAAGGATCTGCTTTCTCAATTTCATGGTGGTGTTATGGCATATGATGAAGGAATGTGTAAAGATGATCCTGTATTGGCTTCTGCTTTATGGAGGTATGTTATCTAACATAATCAAAAACCCGCAACTCTTTTTTGAATTTTTGATTTTTATTTAAAATTTTTATCCTTTTTTTTTTTAAAAAAAAAAATAATTTAATATTAAGGAATATCTTGATTACAGAGGGATCAGCACATAATATGGCTTGTTTGGTTAAACATGTTAGGCATGAATTACGAAGATTAGATAATTTATCTTACGAATCTATTATTGAAGGAAAAATTCGTTTTAGAAAACCCGAAACTTCATTGTAATATATAAAGATTATTTTTTTAGAAAAAAAAATTTTTTTTTTTTTTTTTTTTTTTTGAATTATACAGTGTTGCAGTATTTATTAAACTATACCCTGAAATTGATGGATAAAATTTGACGGGTTTTTTTTTTAATAATGAATAACAATCGCATAGATATTACGAAGGTTGTACCGGTGTGAGGTAAAAGATGTTTGTACTGCAGATTTTCAGTGACCAATAAGAGGAGTTTCTATGTTTCGCACGTGATTGCCATAATTTTGCCCGAAAGGTTAAAATCTACAAATTTCCTCATCACATAAAATTAATCAAAAAAAAAAAAAAAAGGATGATGCCTCAAAAACAAAAGAAAAGATCCAGGAAACTAAATAAGGAAAGTGATTCTACACAATTAAAGGTTGATGACAATAAAGTGAATAATGAATCAAAAAAAGGCACTTCCCATAATCCTCTCGATGCCTTATCCGATAAATTCATTAATTTAAATGATTTGCAGCAAAAGAATAAAGGCATCCTTCCACAAAAAGGAATATTAGAGTTAGAACTCGAAGCGTTAGTGTTTGAAGACCTTTACAAACCGGAGAGTGAAATAAATCTCAATACTAGGCAATTGGATAATACGACAAAACAAGAAAAATTATCTAGTGAAGACGAGGAGGAGTCTGAAGCGGACAAAGACGACATGCCCGTGAGTTTTCCTACTTATTTAATATCGTGAATAAAATTTTTTTTTTTTCCAATTGACTAAACATTAGTTTTATCAAAGTCACATGTTTTCGATACCACACCGCCGGTTCCCTACTCTATCGATACTTTACCTGAAACACGCGTAAATAATGATGAAAGTATCAATTTGGAAGAAATCGATCAAGTTACCTCTCAAGGAGTCGGAACGAAAAATAAAAGTATTGTAATTTTATTTTACTTTATTTATTTTTTTTTTTTTGGCGTATATTATTATATCCGATTAATCAAAATATGAATTTGATTTAATAGAGGGAATTGAAAGCGTATGGCAAGATTCCGATGACGAAAATGTCACCGTATCTTTAAAAAGTAAAAATATGTTGAAAAAATTGAGGATGACTGAAGATGATGATTTAATATCCGGGGATCAATATGAAAAGAGATTGAGAAACCAGTAAATAATAATCCTTTCTGATTAATTCTTTTGAACATAATTCCCGGTATCAATAAAATTCTCAAAATTTGTTATTCAATAGATTTGAGAAACTTCATCCAACACCAAATTGGGCTGTCGTGCCTTCAAAACGTAAAAGACAAACGGACAATGAAAGGATGGAAGATTCTGACAAAGACTTATCTGAGATAGATGATGTAGCAGAATCAGGCAAAAACAAGTGGAAATTAAAGGCAAAAAGGCTTGAAATTTATCGGGTGAAAGATGCCAATCAAGCAGCATATTCACAGGTAGTTTATTATTTCACGTTACGTACTTTATAATGTCATAACATGATGCTAACGTTTAATATATTTCATTAGTGTGTAATACAATCATTGAAGTTTCATCCAAATTCACAAGTATTGATGACCGCGGGAATAGATAAGACAATAAAATTATTCCAGGTTTGTTCTTAAATCATTTATTCCAAATAATTTTTTTTTTTAGGATACACGTAACAATTTCTTTCTTTTTATTGTTGACCAAATAAATAAAGATTGACGGCGTTAAAAACCCGAAAATTCAATCGGTATTTTTCAATGATTTGCCAATTTTAAAAGCAGAATTTAATCCAAGTGGTTCGGAAATCATTGCAACCGGGCGACGGAAGTATTTTTATATTTATAACATCGAGGCGGGAAATGTAGATAGATCTCAAGGAATATTTGGATCGGAAGATAAAAGTCTTGAAAACTTTTCGATATCCCCTTGCGGAAAATATATTGTATTTGTAGGGAACAATGGTTATTTAACTTTAGTTAGCTATCAAACGAAACAATGGGTTGGTAAATTTAAAATGAATGGCTCCGCCAATTCGGTTGCTTGGTCCAGTGATAGCAAGTATTTGTTTTCAGTTAGCGGTGACGCAGCAGTTTATCAATGGGATGTAGGTGAACGAAAATCTGTGCATTACTTCATGGATGAAGGTGGGTATAACCCCAAGAAAATTGCAATCTCCAGCAATAATAATTTATTTGCCATCGGGTAAGAAAATGTTTAATTGATAATTCGCCATTTATTTTAATAATAAAAATCAAATTCTTTTTTTCCCCTAGTTCGCATTCCGGTATTGTTAACGTTTATGATGGATCTTGTTTGTCTTCAACAAATCCAAAGCCTAAGAAATCTATAATGAACCTAACAACAAGCGTCCACGACATGAAATTCAATCATGACACTCAGATCCTTGGAATCTCGAGCCATTCTAAGCGAGAACAGTTAAAAATGGTTAGTAAAACAATTATTCTATCGAATACATCATTTCATCTATTATAAAATTAATTACGTTAATATTCATTAGGTTCATTTACCTTCATTCAACGTGTTTCCAAATTGGCCAAATTTGTCAAATCCTTTGGGTATTGTTAAATGCTTTGATTTTTCCCCAAATAGCGGTTATCTTGCTATAGGTAATGAAAAGGGTAAAGCACTTTTATATAAGCTGCGTTCTTATCCAAATGCATAATGGGGAGTAATCTCAGTGATGATGGTACAGAATTTAAAAATTTTTTTTTTGATTCATATAATTATCAATTATTTATGCGTTTTCTAAATTATAAAGCTTTACAATTTGTGTGACAAATCAGTGAATATTTCACTATGCCGACTTAAATATTCATATCCGCGAAGAGAAAGAGATTATTGATATATTGCAGTGTTAATGTAAGTTGGGCAAATCCTTCAGGAAATGTTGATTTTAACTCTTTCTAATGAATAAAGAAGTGAACAGCAACAAAACCATTCAAAATTGCTTTTCAATTTAGATAATAAGTCCAGAAAAATTCTAATATTAAAATCTATCCTGAAAAATGTAAAAATAAATTCATCTCGAGTATCTCATAATTTTCCAAATAAAAATCTATTTTTTCAATAGTATTGCAGCCTGCAATTTTATTTAATAATTAAAATCATTAATTATTTTAAATTTTTAAAATAATTTATTAAAGGATTAATTAATAAATTAATAAAAAAGTTAAAATTTTAAACTCTTTAAATTTTTTTATTTTACTATTTATAAATCTCTGAAATATTAAAATACTATTATTTAATAGGTTTTAATATGAATCTAACAAACTAAATTTTTTTTTTTTTTTGTAATTATTAGATAATAAGTTATTTTAAAAATTTAAAATTACCTTAATAACTTAGCTTTAATGAATTTTTGTAGAAATCCACCTAAACCATCTGAGGTATATTTTTGGTAGACCGATTACCTATATAACTTGTGTTAAAGGTTAATGCTCTTACTACCATAATTGTTAAAAGAAATAAGATATCATATCTGTTAAAGAAAATATATATAATAATTATTATTTTTAAAAATTTTTAAATAATAATATTAGATGCATTATAATATATCAAATTTAATAAACTTTATTTTATCTTTTTATGATTATTAGATATCAAAATATTATAATTTTTTACTTTAACATGTTTGAAATTAATAGTTTTATATTCAGATTATACAACTATTTATATAAATAAGCAAATATTAATTACTAACTATTTATAAATCTTATTACATATATTTAGAAGTTATTATCTAGTATAGATTATATTTAATTTCAGGCTAACTTTATATAGATTCTATTTAGATTTAATAATCAAGTTTAAATAAAAGATCATTTTTAAAATTGTCAGATTCTATTTCTATTATATTATCATTATAATCTTTACCTATTATCAGTAAGATCTAGTAAAACAAACTATAATAATAATCATAAGTTATGCAATAATAAATGAAATGTTTCTTGTAATTACTAAAATAAATAAAATTTTTTTTATTATTTTTATTATTAATATTATAATTTCCTAATATTAAAGTTTAAACATGAATTAATAAATAAATTATTTTATAAAATATATAATTAACAGATAATACTATTATATTATTTTTTTTTTTTTTAATATAACTTAAATAACAATTAAAACATTCAAAATTAATATATCAAAATATTATTTTTTTTAAAAATATATTTTAAATTTGATACAATTATTACTTTATATATCTTTCTAAATCTTAATAATATTATTATGAATCTTTTTTGACATAAACTAAATTAAATTTTGACATCAAATTATTTTTAGACTTACTGTATTTTATTTCATAAATTCTTTTTATTTGAAATTTGTTCAAGAAGATGTTTAAGCTAATAATTAATCTCATTCTATAAATATTCAATAGGGTTCAAATTCAAGGATTAAAATTAGAATTTTTCTGGACTTATTATCTAAATTGAAAAGCAATTTTGAATGGTTTT